CTCCCTCTCTCCCTCTCTCCCTCTCTCCCTCTCTCCCTCTCTCTCTCTCTCTCTCTCTCTCTCTCTCTCTCTCTTCCTTCATGTGAAGATTGATTTCCGATGACCTCAGTCTCAAATACGAGAGGCAAAAGTAACCTGGCGAGGTGTTCTATCCTGGCAGGCTTTTCTTTTGCTGAAAAAAATCATTTTTTTCCCCCTCCACATTAAGATCAATGTTAAAAACAAAAAGTTCTCTGTCTTTGATTTCATTTTTAGAGTAAAGCAAAACAAAACAAATACCATACTAAAGATTTTCTTTTCTTTTATTATTATTATTATTATTTTTTTTTAAAGATTTATTTATTTATTATATATGAATACACTGTAGCTGTCTTCAGACACCCCACAAGAGGGCACCAGATCTCATTACAGATGGTTGTGAGCCACCATGTGGTTGCTGGGATTTGAACTCAGGACCTCGGGAAGTGCAGGCAGTGCTCTTAACCACTGAGCCATCTCTCCAGCCCTCTTTTATTATTATTAAATTTATTTAATGTATATGAGTACACTATAGTTTTCTTCATAAATCACCAGATCCCATTACAGATGGTTGTGAGCCACCATGTGGTTGCTGGGAATTGAACTCAGGACCTCTGGAAGAGCAGCCAGTGCTCTTAATTGCTGAGCCAACTCTCCAGCCCTGACTTTCTTACTTTCTTTATTTTTTTTTTAAAATCAGAAGTATTTTTGATTTGGGAAGCAAAATATCCCTTTGTAATATTTATTTATGGAAATATATAAATGTTCTTTTGCAATTCTGAGAGCAGAACCCAGACCCTTCTCCTTGTCAGATAAACATTCTGCCAAGAGCTACTTTCCAAGACAGATGATAACATAGATTTTAAAGGAAAGTTTCCACAGATTTAATCCGTAGACTCTGATATCGCTTTCTTATGGTTCTGTTTTGCTGATGAAGTAAAATAAAGCATGTCACATTTTTGATCTGGTGGAAGAAAGCACGACTGTCGAAGACCACAGCTAATGTCAAATGTTAAGCTGATCGTTTGAATAAGATGAAAATGTTTAGAAAATGTTTTTGACTTTTTGAACAAATTTGTTACACAAAAGTCAGATTGTTTGTTTTTGTTTTTAATAATAACCAAGAATGTGAGTATTTGTCTCAGGCTAATATTTATAAAATTTTAAGCACAGTTTCAAATCATTAAACTTTTGATCTTATAAGCACTTTTGTTTATATCTGAAAATTTTACCAATCTCTCTAAAATGTCCCATTTTATAGCATTTTTCCTGAGGTCATCAACTTCCATGTTTGTTCACTACTGTGTTAGCAAATTGTGTAAGTTTTGTGCTAGGTGGTGGTTTTCCGCCGTGTTTAGTACCAGCACAAAATAATTTTGCAGTAATGACAGATAGCTTTGGTAAAGGCCAGAGACAATAAGCCATTCGAGGAGTCAGCCTGTTTTCAGCATTCATTAGCCATCTGCTAGCATGTGTTGATTTTCTCTGCAGACATCTGGAGAGAAAGTGGGCAAGCTGAGCTTAGTGGATTTAGCTGGCAGTGAACGAGCCACGAAAACTGGAGCTGCGGGCGACAGGCTGAAGGAGGGCAGCAACATCAACAAGTAAGTGTTCCAGAATCACATTCTTGAATCGCTTTATGGTGCTGATAGAAAAATAGGGGAACATCTGTGCTTATGGAGTAAGATGATTCAGGAACGATTGAGGCAATGATGAGTGAGCAGTTTGGACTTTTTTCTAGTGTTTTCTATGACCCAGGCTCATTTTCTCATCTGTAGAGCTGTTTGATGGGACTGGCAAGCACAGCCCTCAGTCAAGTCAGGGCTTCTCAACAATGGCCCTATTGACAGTTGGGCTTAGATGACTCCTTTTCCTGTGGGTGGAGGATGTTGTACATTGCGGGATGTTTGATAGAACCCCTGGTGTCCACTCACTAAGTGATGTCAGTATCCACTGACTCTCTCTTGACCTCCAGTTATGACAACCCTGTCCCGTCCTTGTGACTTGCTGTTATCCATGGAGCATAGTCATCCTCTACTGGATTTTGGCTGTGTGAATAGACACTGTGACAGTCACATTGGGCTATCCCCTTTAGTCTGCTGTTGTATTTGTCAACATTTCAGAACCAAGATTTTATGAAGTAATGTTTCATTTGCCAGCTCCATCACGTACATAGTTTTCCCTCAGGCTAGATCACTACCTCTTCATGGGTTCAAGTCTTCCCTCTCCTCAGGGCTCCCACAGCTATGAGGTGAGACATTAGCCAGCAGATGGAAACTATGGAACACTTCTCCAACACTAGGGTGTGCAGATGTCAGCTTGTTAGCACTATTGCTCTAATCAGTATTTTACCAGTATTTATACCCTTCTTGAAGGTGTCTGTTTGTTATATTAGTATCTTCACCCTAGTATTCTAGGTCACATATTTTATCTGCAAAAATGAAAGATAAACAGTGCTAAGTGTTTTTATTTTGTCAAGTAACTCAGATGGACAGGAGCTGTTAGGAGCTCTGTCTTCAGATCAGACAGCAAAGTGCTGACCACAGCACTTGTTACACGCAGCCAAGGGCACCTTGCCCCTGTCCATCCTTGCAACTAACGTGACATTTGATATGTTCTGGCTTAGATAATTGTGGTTTTTGTTCCATGCAGGTCCCTCACAACCCTGGGTCTGGTTATCTCTGCCCTAGCTGATCAGGGTGCTGGCAAAAACAAAAATAAATTTGTTCCCTATCGGGACTCAGTTCTCACATGGCTGCTCAAGGTGAGTCATTTTCTTTGTCTTTTGTTAGTATCTTACTTAGTGACCTATTGCTTCAACAAAACACCATGACCAAAAAGCATGTTAGGGAGGAAAGGGTTTATTCAACTTATACTTCCATATTGCTGTTCATCAACAAAGGAAGTCAGGACAGCATCAGGACTGGAACCTGGAGACATGAGCTGATTCAGGAGCTCATGATTACTGATTATAGGGGTGCTGCTTACTGGGTTGCTCCTCATGGCTTCCTCAGACTACTTTCTTAGAGCCCAGGACCACCAGCCCAGGGATGGCACTGCCCACAGTGGGCTGGGCTCTCCCCCATTGAAAAATGCCTTAGAGCTGGATCTCAAGGAAGCATTTCCTCAACTGAGGCTCTTTTCTCTAATGACTCTAGCTTGTGTCAAGTTGACACAAAACCAGCCAGTTTTTAACATATTTTCAGTGGCAGAAAGGAAGAAAAAGAGTAGGTTAGTCTCTTCCAGGGACCTTTTCTCCATCTGTATTCAGATGTATAGCTTTTCGGCAGTTTGAACAGTTTTTCAGTTTTCAGGAACAAGTGTCATTTTCTTGCTAGTGTTTGGCATTTTTGTCCTCCAGAACATGCATGGTAAATGGTTGTTGAACACATAGTTGCCCCTTGAGGGGAGGGGGCAGAAGAGCCGAGTGTTGAGGGGACAGTGTGGTCACTCACAGACTGATGCCCTCTCTGAGCTGCTATGTCCTGCTCACAGACACCTTTGATAGCTTGAGCTTATTTTCTATTTCATTCTTCCCTGAGCCTTTGATTTTTCTGCTTTGCAAAGTTTTAGCTAAGTGTAGAGTAGAAACACAGCCATTTCTATTGCAAACAAGGAACAGAAATGTGAAAGGACAGCATCCATGAAGTGCCCCAAGGGAACACAAGGAAATGGTGAGTCAAGAGCACGAAGGGTAGCTTACAAGTTTGTTGGTGACTTCACAATGGACAGGTCCCTGGGGTCTTCCTGAAGATGGTGTGCAAAATGGACATCAGGCTGGGTATTAGAGCTTGTAGACTAGATGACAACTTTGTAAGGGTGTCATAGTGGAACAAAAACTTTCGCCTTTCTAATACTCTCCATGGTTCATTGGAAACAGAGAAGCAGGCACTGGAGAGAGGTGGTATGTGAGCTCTGTTCTTCTAGAGGACCTGAGTTCAATTCCCAGAATCCATGTAGCTTAGCTCACAGTTGCCTATAATCCTAGCTCCAAGGGATTTGACATCCTCTTCTGGCTCCTAAAGGTGCTGAACTCAGCTGCAGAAAACCATTCAGTGACACATACCATTAAAAACAAGGAAATAACTTTTTGTGCCCGGTATAGCTTAGTAATGGCTCATTTTCTCATTGGTAAAGATGTACTGTACTTACTATTTCTTACTATAGTGGAACAGGGCCCCCAGGGAGCTTAGTAAATGTTGATTGTCACTGTTGACTGAGTCTTTGTGTTTAGAGATCAGCCTTTGGAGTACTTTCAAAGAGAAGTACTTTCTCCTGACTATACACACTCAGAATTTTTCTCCCTGCACCCCCAACGGGGTTTCTCTGTGTAGCCCTGGAACTCATTCTGTAAATCAGACTGGCCTCAAAGTCTTCAGGAAGAAAATCTGATAACATTCTTCTCCCTTGGACTTCCAGAGAGGCATTTCCAGTCATGTATGGACGTTTCCTTGGTGTGCTTGATTTAAAGTCAGAGTCTCTATGGTCACTGTGACTTCAGTTAAGACAATAGGCAATCTCTTCTTGTTGGTTCAGTCGCTGTCCATAAAGCTGAGTCTGTCACCCTGTTGATGAATCAGGTGTCAGGCAGCCGTGTCAATGTGTGGCTGGTTTGTGTGGACTGTGCTCTTAGTAAAGATTCATTGAGGCTCTCCATTTGACTTTGCCTGTTTTTGATTAAAAGTAAGGGAAGATGTTCATAATATTCAAAGAATGAACCAAAACTGTAATTACAGCTTCTTTGTGGTGATTCAGTTTAAAAATAAGGCATGTTTGTTCAGTTTCTGTTATTAGTTTTTTTTTAAACATTTGTATTATCTGTTTTATATCATATTTGATGTTTGCACCAAGAGCCTAAGTAGGGGGAGTTAAAAACTTCTTCAGAGCTGTAATGTTTGCCCCTCCACCCCTGCTCAGTTCATGACTTCTTTAACTCCTAGTCTACTCCCGTCCCACACCTGCTGATTGTCCTTTAGTGTTGGTCTGAGATTAGCACAACCCCATCGTGATTTCCATTGCGCTCACAAAATGGATCACCTTTAAAGAGATCAGTGTGTATATGGATGCATCAGAGGTCATGCTTGGTGTTGTCTTTCTTGACTTTTGAGCCAGGGTCTCTCACTGGGATCCAGGGTTAGGAAGTTGGGCTAGGCTGAGTGGCCAGTGTGCCCCAGAGATCTGCCTAACTCCCCACTGCTGGGGTTACAGTTGTCTTCCACCACCCCAGGCTTTTTATGTAGGTGCTGGGGGTCAAACTCAGGTCCTCACGCTTGGGAGTGAAGCACACTTGATGTTTATCACTGTCTGAATGTGGATCTCTTGCTCAGCTTCTACTTTGTGAGCTCTGACCCCCACTTTTATTCTTTGTTTCTTTGTTTTTGTGACAGGGTTTCTCTATGTAGTTTGGCTGTCCTGGAACTCGCTCTGTAGACCAGGCTGGCTTTGCACTCACACCAATCTGCCTGCCTTTGCCTCCTGAGTGCTAGGATTAAAGGCTTATATCACCACTGCCTGGCCTACTTTTATTCTTAATGTCAATTCTCTAGTGGACATCATGTGGATCTCTCACTGAGCCGACAACCATCTCTCTTGGACCTTCTTTGTCCAATCCACTCTTCCATTTCCAAATTCACTGGAACTTTAAGTCTCTTTAGTAACTGTCCTCCAGGGCCTTAGAATCAAGGCCAAGTTCTTTAATGAATGGCTTACAAAGGCCCTTTCCAGCTGACTTCTCCTCCTGGCTGTCATCTGTGCTCTTTGGCATTGTAGGTTCTAGGTGAGTGAAGATGGCTGTCATGTGTTAGAGCCTTATTCTTTTTTGTCACTTCCTGCTCCTCTCTCCTACCTGCCAGTCTGGAATGTCTTCTCTTCTAGGTTCCTTCTGCTCTTCGTGCTTCCAGACCCTGGGTTTAGCTCTTACACAGCATTGCCTCTCCCATTAGATGGCAAACCTCACAAGAGGAGAAGAGCAAGTAATCCCAGCTCTGGTCTGAATTAGCACACTGACCTTTGGTAAGTCTTTCAGCCTTTCTGAGTCTCAATTTCCTAGCAGCACAATGAAATAATTTGATTAGATGACTTCAGAGTTCTTTCAGCTTGAAAAGAAAAATTCTGACTTCTAAGATGAAATTTCTTCCCGGTGTCCATTTAATTTGCATTGCCACATTTGAAACAAAGCTTGTCTGAGTTGCTTAATTAAGGAGTAAACAAGAAACTGTAAACTTTCTCTTGGATGCCTGCCCATTCTTTTGTTACATTTTCCTTTTTGTTCAAGACAATGTGAGCATATTGCTGCTCCATGGTCATTTGGTAAATCAGGCATGGGGTGTGCCCAGTTTCCTTTTCTTTGCCTAAGCATGCAGTGGCAGCGTACTTTCACCCCTGGTAGTTATGGTTACAAATTCTGTTTGTCATTCATGTTTGCTGTGCCCATGGGTAGACTGTGCAGTAACCCTTAGGATGTGTGGCATCACTAGTAAGTGGAACCGAAGTCCTTGAGACTTTCCTATCCCATCTGAATGTATATGGGGCTCCTCATGACAAATCTGGAGCACTGACAATGTGAAATTAGTGTCTAGTAGTGAAAAGAGAATCAAGCAGTCTTGGCTTACTTCTGAAAATCCAGATTGGTTACATCTCTTGCCTTTCTATACATAACAGCATATTTTCTTCAATATAATTATCTGGGTTTTTTTAAACTAAATTTTCAGTAATGGATGAGTAAGCATACATATATATTGTCTTTGATTGTATTGAGCTATTGATACCTTGTGAATTATTTTGTTTCAAATGTCAAGACAGAATAATTTGAAGTGGTGTCAGGTAATCTGACTCAGCCTTCAGGCCTGAAGTTGTGGTTGCCAAGAACTTGTTGTGGGTGTCTGTGTGGGAAGAGTGGTCTGTTTGAAATTGAAGGTGGAAAACCTGGGATGGAGCGGTGCTCAGTTTGTTAGTTCTAGCTTGTTAGGCATGTTGTTGATGGGTTGGTTTGCTTGTTTTTGTGTTTTGCTTTTTAGAACAACCCTGCTTTCCTCTCTAATAGAGTGAAGTTACTAATAGTTGAATTCACAAAAGGCAGAGATATGTATAAAACTACAAAATTCTCTAAAAAATTTATATGTATTAAAATTAGAAAAACTATATTTTTAAAATCAAGAGTTTTCTAAGGTGAGTATTGGACAAATCTAAGCTTTCTTGTGATGTAGTGAATATCTCTCTGAATTTTGAGAATCTGTTGTTCATTGAGATTGCATTTCTGAAAGGGAATATTGAGTCTTTATGTGTTCATGTATGTGGGTCTATGTACATGTGTGTGTGCGTGTGGAATCCAAAGGACAACCTTAAGTGTTATTCTTCAGGCTCTGTACACCTTTAAAATATAATTTTAAAAGTTTTATTTATATGTATATAATGTTCGCCTGTGTGAGTTTATATGTACCACGAGTATGTAAGAGCCAGCAAAGGGCATGAGAACCCCTTGAAACTGGAGGTGTAAACCATCTTGTGGAAATGAACTTAGGTCTGCTGTGAGAGCAGTAAGTACCCTGAACTCCTGAGCAATCTCTCTGGGCCCTTAACTGTTTTTAGACAGTTTCTCACTAGCTTGGAGTTCATTTTGAAGGTTAGGCTTGCCAGCAAGTTCTGGGGATCTATCTGCCTTTCTCCATGAGCCTGGCACTGGGCTTGCAGGTACATACTATCATGTTTAGCTTTTTACATGTGTTTGGAGCACTGAATTCAAGTTCCTGCATTTGAAAAGAAAGCACTTTTGTGTTAAACTTTCAGCTCTGAATATTTCTTGTGTGCGTGTGTGTGTGTGTGTGTGTAGTGTGTGTGCAAATGTGTGTAATTGGGAACACGTATATATGGGTGTGCATGCACTTTAGTGGACCAAGGTTGGTGTTGGGTTTCTTCCTTTATTACTCTTCCACTTTATACACTGGGACAGTGCCGGGAGCCAGCCCCGGCTTGGTGGGAGGAGAAGGTGATCTTTCTTCTTTTCCAGTAGGTTCTTCTTGAGGCAGCTGAGGGGGATGGGAAGAGCATAGGCAGTGGGTAAGACCTAGGGTTAGGCTATTGTAGCTGGCCTGCCCTCTGTTTGATCCTCTGAGGCCAGAAACTGCAGTTTCTAGCACTTAACACCTCAGCCCAGGGACAGCAGAGAATTAGGCAAATATCCTTATATCCTTAGTACTTTCTCTGAAGGCACTGCCAGGCTCTAGCTTAGGTCTGTTGGTTTGAGGTCGCAGGAAGAAAAGACACTTAAAGAAGTTATTGTATTTTATTACTAAGTGTAAAAAGTTTCCTATGAAAGCTAGCTAAGAGACAAAGTAGGGAAAGGTAAAAAATTCTAACAAAGGAAAAATTCTAAGTGGAGAGAATCTAAGCAGGGAAGAAAGAAGAAGGGAGAGAGGAGAGAAAAGAGAGAGAGATGAGCGAGATGAGCAAGATGAGAGAGAAGAGGGAGGGAGGGAGGG